TTCGGTGTGATGTAAAATATTATACATATCTCGCGTTAATTTGAACAATTCATTGCGTTTGATCTCGACCTCCCGATCGTATTTAAAGAAAAAATGAATATGAATTGTTAATTGCGATTTGATCTCTACCGTCCGATTGCATTTAAAGAGAGAACAAATCTAAACCGTTTATCACGTTTAATCACGACCGTTTGATCGCGCCTGAAGAGAGAACAGATTTGAACCGTTCACGCGTGCAGGAATGTTTTCGGGTCGTCCGATTGTGGAGCACGCGGATCACCAGCGTAGCCTCCCGCATGGCACCGAATCAGCGTGCCTTGCCACATATCGCATTTTGGTTCATCGAGACTGCTGACTGAGCAGTCATACGTGACGTAATTTTTTTTAATTGCGTTATGACCTTCAGTTTCTGATTTTTTTTTTAAAATATCATCCGAACCTAAATTTTAATATATTTTTTAAAATTATTTTCAATTTCATTCTCAATCTATTTTTTCTATAATTTTATATTAAATTAAAATTTATTAATTTAAAAAATAAATCTTTATATACTTTTTTATATTAAAATTAATTTCAAATTAAATTTCGGACTCGAATATTACATCGCATGTAAATGTAAAATTATAACTTAATTAGTTCTAATTCAAATTATATATACAAAACCAAGATTTCTTCAATAATAAAAATAATTTTTAATGGATAGCGCTTAAAAAAACTGGATAGATGAATCGAAGCTGTAGCTACGGTTGAACGAAATGGTGATGGTGATGGATTTTCAAGGATCCAACGTTTCTCACCTCACGGAGAAACCTAAACAAGGGGCCCACGTAGACAGAACCGGCACAGCCAACAGACATCCAGTAGGGCCAGCAACATACTCTTAAGTCGATCATAACGGTGGGACCGACTTACCACCGTTTGGGGGATGGGCCGGGACCCACTTATATATGAAAGGTGATCATGGGACCCTTTACTTTGTGGGGTCAATAGAATCCCCCAACGCTCAGTTCGCTTCTTCTCCATTTTTACAAACCCTAGATTCTCTGAGTGTCAAAAAGAAATCCTAGATTCTCTCTCCTCCATATCTGCTCCTCTTCCGTTTCCAAAACCCTGCTACTATCCTGTTGCTACTGGTCGATAAATGGGCTCAGAAATGGTGCTCAACGATTTCTCCTCCACTGAACACAACCACCACCACAACTCCAACCTCAACTCACTGAATGAGTCGTCGCCGGTTGTACCTCGTAAATCCGCATCATCCTCATCCAGAGACCGCCACACCAAGGTAAACGGCCGGGGGCGGCGGGTCCGGATGCCTGCTCTGTGCGCTGCTCGTATCTTTCAATTGACTAGAGAGCTCGGCCACCGATCCGACGGTGAGACCATCGAGTGGCTACTTCGCCAAGCTGAGCCCTCAATCATCGCCGCCACAGGCTCCGGCACCGTCCCCGCTGCCCAAGTTTCCTCATCCGCTGGGCCTGCTCCGCTCTCATCTTCGCCGTCCTCGGTGTCTTGTCGAGTGCATCCAGTGGGTGTCGGAGGAGCTCAGGGGATATTCACGATGGGACCGCCACCGAGCTGTCGGCTGGACCTGTGTCAACCGGTGGGTTTGCAGTATTCGACTACGGCGGGGAACGGGTTCAGGCACATGCCGTTCACGGCGTTGTTGTTGCAGCCGGTGACAGCGGCTGCAGCGGAAGAGGACGAGGAGACCGATGATAAGCAGAGGCAGCAGCAGGGAGTACTTGAAGATCACCATGAGCATCAATAGGTAAACAAGGATTAGATATATCCTATAGCTCTGCGGGTATACAGACCGTGATAATGAGTGTTAGCATGTCGTTTAGGGTGTTTGTATTGTGGGCATAATGTAATTCCATCATCTTCTTCCTCATTCTCCTTCCTTATGGTGGTGTATGTATCTATGGCGGTTTGTGCTTCTGAACGAAGAGGATGATGAAATCTTGTGGTGGTGTATGTATGTATGATGGTTTGTGTTTCTGGATGAAGAGGATGACGAAATGTAAATTGCTCGCAGAAACTCAAATGTAGTTTTCACTCTCTTTTTTCATGGCTTGCTTTCTGTGGACCATGAAACAGTGACTTTTAAGTTTTAAAAAGCAAGAACAAACAGGACCCACCATTGATGCATCTCCATGAAAAGGTGATAAATCTGTTGAGGCCAAAAAACTTGTTGCCTTTTTTTTGTCTGATTAAAAAAAAAAAAAAAAAATTGAAGCTGCTTTCAACATTAAAACTCAAAAGGTTCCAACAACAGAGCGCTTTATCAAAGGGGGAAAAATTTTCAGGAAATTTGCGCGGTTAAGCATGGTTGAATTCAGAAATTTATTGAAGATGAAGCTTTCTGTATTTTGCCCAAATTCTCATTTCATCGTTCCATAATTTACAATTAATTTTATATTAGTTTAAGTGATAAATAATAATATAATTTTAACTCAAAGCTATTTCTAATTCCAAAATATCTACCTAAAAAATAAAATATCTGTTCTACCGATAGAACATTACTGTAAGAATGTGATGAAAACAAAATAAGAACTGAACGGACAGATCACGAGATTTTTACTAATTCTTGCCTATTTTCACACAGCATAAGGCATGAAACTTGTCATTGATCCAGACACTAAATCACCAGATTTTCCACTGCGTTACACTACAACAAGTGCAATAAAGTAGAGAAATGACAATGTCAATGACAATACTGTTTAATTACATTCATGTATTAACTAACTATAAGGAAGCAGATCATTAACCTTATGGTATAACAGTAAGATGACAGAATGAGAAGAAAATAATGACTATATATCAGAGGATTTTTTTAAATAAACTAGTAACTGAAATGTTGTAGGCTCGTAAAAAAAATTGAATATAAGAACGCAGGGTGTTCTTTTCACCACATTCACATCTTGTTATATACAAGTAAATCAGCTAGCAGCAGCAGCAAGAAGAGGGAGGAGTATCCAGCCAGAGATGTCAGGTTCTAATTCCCAAAAATCCACCATTTCTTTTTCTTTGTTAAATCACTTGAGGGGATATCTGAACCACACAATAAACTATTAGATCAAAGCCATCTTGAAAAAGTAGTGAAAAATATGACTACAGCTCTATTGAATGTTAGTGTTTCATTTGCATTTACTAAGACTCTACCAACATTTTGCAAAGTAAAATTTTGCAATGAAAGAAAGAAAAAGAGAAGTAGAAGATGGTTCTTGTTACCTCCTTGAAAATAGATAGAATTGTAGTGCACCTCAGCCCAAAAACTCAAGAAAATAACTGCAATGAATAGATTATAAGCTTAAAAAATGATGACATAATGTGATACCCAAACAATTAAAGTTTAACTTTCTTCTTCAACAAAAAAAAAAAATGTACAAGCCAGGGAAAAGTGTAATCCACATATATGATTTACAATTGAATCCATTGAGAGTGGAAAAGTGAAGATTCCAGAACAAGTAGCAACTATTAAAATAATCATGCCGCAAAGTTGTTTCTAACAAGTATAAATCTTTTATATTGCTTGTCATTATAAGGGAAGAGAAATCTTTTAAAACAAATTAAAAGACAACATAAAATTCTGGATACACAAACATGCAAAGATTATTAGGAGCTATAAACTATCAGCAGAAAGGATTGATATTTAACTGAATCGCCGAAATTACTTTGCTAATTAGAAAAACCAATTAAAAAACTGAATAAGTCAAATCTATATAACCAACATTCTTCATCCTTCACAGGAAAAAAAGTAGTAATGCAAGATCAAGAAGCTATCCAAAAAACAGAAAAGCTAAAAGTCCTTCATTTACCTTTATCAAGAAGGGGGAAAAGAGCTAACATAGAGAAAAGCAGAATAAAGTCTTAGTTCTTAAAATAAAGAACTGTCTTACCTCCTTTCGACTTCTTGACATTAGGAAGAATTTCAATGTAATAGGTGTCCTTAAATGAAGTCATAACTACTATTTTCACACCATACTGCAAGAGAATAGTCGCAAGTGAGCCATTGACAAAATTGCTTCCAAAAAGTTCAAGATCATATTGATCACACAAAAACATTTCATACATCTCAAAATTCTACTTCTAAATGCCAATAAGAAAGTTGTGCACCTTTTAGGCTGTGACATAAATTGCTTTTCACATAATAATAATTAATTGACAAACAAGTTCCCAACTCACCTATGAGAGAAATTATGATGTCCAAGAGATATATGCTGATGTTGCGTCTTCTTTCACTATTAATGTTAAACTCATTTTATCTGACCCATAAATTGCATTTGTCACCTCAATATTTTGTTAAATTATAAAAGAAGGGGATACTACATCAGCTTATACTTGTTACATAAAATAATTTCTTTATTGTGGTATACAAGCAAAAAATCAGGAGATACTCTTTGTTGTGGTATACAAGCAAAAAATCAGAAGATACATATCAACGAATTAACATTTACACTGCCTTTCAACTTTCAACACCATAATACAACAAACAAGAAAAATAAAGCTCAACAGTATTGGATAAAAAAAGAGGATATTGTTCATATGTGATCCATACCGAATCTGCAGCAGCTTGCAATGTTACATGATCCCCCCACTCACCGTTCCTGTTTCCATTCATAAAGAGATCAACATGGTTACTTCTCTCGCAAATATTTTAAAGGGAAATGAGAAAAATGATGTGATTCAGAAAATACTTGGACATCATCTTCAAATAGTCAGCATAATCCATGGGAACGTATTCTTTGTATATGTCAGGATGAGACTTAAGCTGATGACAAGAAACCATTGTAGCAAAGAAATCAAAATCGTAACCATATAATAAGAATATAACCAAACAAACACAATAAACTTCTAAGCTAGAACTGAAACTAGTAGACCATATCTAAGAGAATGGACCTGATTTACAACTTTTCTTCTGACAAGTTTGTGATGCTCAGGAGTGCTGTACAACTGATCTGATAATGCGCGGAACTGGGAAAATGATGGTTATTAAGTGAGTCAATAATGATCCACAATGAAAAAGCAATCCCTGGTGTCGATGTGTGCTTGAGATAAGATGCATAAACATAAAGATGACAGGGAATAAACAGAATACCTGACAGTTGCCATCTCCTTGTACTTTGTTCTCAACAAAACCATATAACTGTAACCTGGACAAAAAAATCCAGCATAAAAAATAAAGGTAATTCAGTAGTATCTTCACGTTGAAAACTGAAGTATAGTGTCTTGTAAATGAAGCATCCAATAGCTTGCCAAATAGTAACAATTACTGATTTTTATTATATATGCATCCTATCTGACCAGAGAATACAAACATATCTCCATATAAAACTATTTGAAGATTTGTCTTCTTGTTCATAATGGAAGACATTTAGCTCCTTCAAAGGAATTTAAGAAAAGACTATAAAAAATATTACCGGTTCAACAGCCTCTCGTGATCTGACATTGCTTCATCAGTTGAAGGTATTTCCCCATTAATTCTCGGAATATGCTGCACATGTATAATAACAATTAAATGAGCCATTCGTGGAAGTCAGTGATATGGGATAAGAACAAAACTTAATGAGACAACCTTTTCTCCATTTATCTCTTTTTTTCCAATATGTACAGCCAGAAATAATAACACAGAATGTATGCATGAAGTTAGAACCAAAACACCATAGCTTTAACAATCATTTACATTCACACCATTTTCAAGCTGTTGTGGGCCTAGGGGTACCATGGTTCTAAACGCCATGGCTTCAACATCCGTATGCAGTCACACTACTTTCAGGCTGTGGTGGACCTAGGGGCACCATCATAATTATTAATATATGCTCCCTCTTAATAAAAAAGCCTTACAAATAATATTAATATATATATCAATCAATGACAAAAAGGAACCATACATTTTACAACTTCTTACTAAAATCTAGCATACTCTCCTGAATAATCAGGTCTGTGTTTATAACATTTCATGATTATGCATGCATGCAAACCACTCAAATAGTAAAGTTTGCACAGAACATGTCAATTATTAATAGTTATATGTTCATAGAACAATAGATATGACAATGAGGGAATAGAATGAAAGTGAACAAAAAGAAACATGCACCAACAAGTAAAGCTTGATGCTTTCAGTTCCTATGTTCAAAAATAAATTTGCTAGTTCAAGTTTCTTAGTTTCTTAGGATCACCCAGTTATGATGATCGTATTTTTCATTTTCCCAATACAAATCTATTGGTTTATTTTTACAGATATAGAGATTGCATTAAAATTCTATTCAAGCTCAATTAAAGTGCAAGTTTCCTAATTTTTCAAAAAGACCCAGTTACAATGCTCGTGCTTTTCATTTTCCCAATATTAATCTATTGTTTTATTCATATGGAAATAGAGA